TATATATAAAATAGGTCCATATGGCTAAATGTTTAGTGTTCTTATTGCTGTTCTCTAAGAAAATAAAGTGTTTTGTATTGCTTTATGAATTAATTAAAAAGCCTTTATGTGATGACAAAAATGTTTTTTAACTATTTTACACCAGAAATTGATAGCTGTAAACCTATGTAAATCACAACATTGGTTTCAGATGCTCAATTTGAGTTTTTTCACTGGCCCTAATGGATGGCACCAGGTAAAACACACTTTCTTGTGGCATGCAATGTTTTTTCTCTAAGCGGGCTTTCAAAAACTAAGACCACAACATGTTTACATCTTTTTTGTCTCCCCTCTTCCTGATAGTTGCAAATACTAAAATGTTTTAGCTTTCAGAGGGTGTGAGGGGAAGTAAACAAATACTTAATAACTTGCTGAAGTAAGATGATTCAATACTGGATCTTTAGGAATAGATTAGTATTATTTGTAAAAATCCATTTTGGTAACAGGCTTTGGTAAATGGGCTCTACTTTGTGGTGCTTGGATGTGATAAATGTGCTGTTGTTTATCTAGTCTTAATATAATTGTTTACCTGTATTTTACTCTTAATGGTTACTCTCCATTAGTTGCACTTGCTTGAATTTAATCAGAAGACTGGCCAACTTGCAAAACTATTAAGACTGTTACGATGTCCACAAACACAATTTAAATGCACTTATAATTGATTTGCTACCATGGAGTATGTTGAACTATTTCATGTAATAAAAACCTTTGTGTAGAAGCTTGGCTGTGAGTCCCTTAATTAAGCCTTCTTTTCTTTTTGCAATAAAAGGAATTTAGGTAGCCATGACCAATGTGTGAATCCATTAATGGAAACACTGTTTTTTATAATTCAACAAGACTTCAAACATCCTGGCATATTTCTGAACTTAATATCTCTTCATTAATGGAACATACAGTAGAGCTATGATGTAGTGCTGAGGAAAAACAGGACTGCATCCACGCTGGGGCTTTTTAACACCTATGGCACACTACTTCTCTATAATCCACAGAAAGTGCACAGTTTAGAAAGGTTAATTTTTGGGAGCGCAATTCACAAAATGTACCTCCCAGACATTAGCAGCAGCCCTTCTGGGGTCTGAAAAAGTTATGTTCTTGAACTCTCTAGTAGTGGAGTTGAATTGGACTGAACATAATAGAATATCTGCTTTTAATTTTTTTTATTTTGAGTATAATAATCTAATAATAATTTACTAATGCATCAATAGGGACGTGGTGGCGCAGTGGGCTAAACCGCAGAAGTCTGTGCTGCAGGGTCAGAAGACCAGCAGTCGTAAGATCGAATCTACACGACGGAGTGAGCTCCTGTCGGTTTCTCCCAGCTCCTTGCCAACCTAGCAGTTCAAAAGCATGTAAATGCGAATAGATAAATAGGTACCACCTTGGTGGGAAGGTAAAACGGTGCTCCCTAGTCACGCTGGCCACGTGACAATGGAAACTGTCTTTGGACAAGCGCTGGCTCTATGGCTTTGAAAACGGGATGAGCACCGCCCCTGGAGTCGGGCACGACTGGACTAAAAAATGTCAAGGAGAACCTTTACCTTTACCTAATGCATCAATACCGCTCTTTTTTAAAAATGAAAGTTGTACAATGGGTAGAATGGAGAAATTTCTAGAAGCACTCAGGTTTATTCCATATGTGTAGTTGTATGCCTTGGAAACTTCCTGAGCAGTAGTTGAATCTTTGTGTCTTTTCCCTTAGAGAGGGTTGACATGGCTCGCTTGTATTTTTCTTTCTCACTCTGCCTTGGTCCATCTAGCTTCTGGGACTGGTTCTGGCTAGAGCCAGGGATTCCTGTAGATGTCACCAGCAGGACCATTTTGTTTGTTTACATATCTCTTTAAAAGCCTAGGCCAAACTATATGTTACAGACAACCTGCCATTAGAAATTACCATTTAGTACCATTCTAGGTGTTCAAGGAGTGGTTTACTATTGCCATTCACCAGTGTTTCCATGGCCAAACAGGGACTTGAACCTGTGTCCCCTGTGTCCTAGTCTGCCACTCTGTCCACTACACCACACTGGCTCTCAGTCACATGCTATTGGATTACATAGAGTTTGACCTTCAGAATTACTTTTTAAAAATTCATTGGGACTGATCCTTATGTAAATGCAATGTGTATATTGAAATAAATTACAACAGGGCAATGTCAGAACAGACATGTTTAAGAATGGTCTGTTTGTCAGTATGGTACAAAGGCATCTGGGTTTCCTCATCATATGTATATGGAGGTTGATTACTAATGCCATTAATAAAAGCAGTATGTACCACTCATTACTGTTTGTGATATGAAAGAAATATGACCTCATTATGTTTATTTCAAAATCTTAATATATATTAGTCTGCTTTTAATGTGTTTTTTTGCCTAATTTGTAAGCAATTCAGAGATTTCAGTTCAAATTAGTGGTGAGTTGCAGATGAGTTTTGGGGGAGACATTTTATTTAAAACAAGTTGGAGTTGTAGGACTTTCAAAAGCAGATCCACTTAACGGTAGTTATTTGAATAAACCTTTATCATAGGGTGCCCTCCTGTGGAACAAAGTATATTTACAGCTTAAGAAAACAACACACACATGCACTTTCAGGGAGTCCCAAAAATCCACAAGGTTGGGTGCTTAAGCCCATGCAGGACAGAACTGCCACCACACCCACAAATGTATCTAGGCTCCCAGTAGCTGGTCAGAGCAAGACCTAGTTTTAAGTACCACAAACCCCTTTAGCCAGAAACCCAGATACAGTAGTTGGTTGGATAATTTTTAATATTTTACTACAGGTAGTGAAAAAGACAAAAAAAAGCAGAAGTTCTAAAAGTTTCAAAAAGCACTTGGAGCAAACAATCAATTTTTGAGGGAAAGGCTGACACAGTTAAGAGAAACACACCAGAAAATAAGAAAGCTAGCAAATCTCATACTCACACAACATCATAGCATCAGCATGGTTTTAGAGCATGCACAGACTGCAGCCTTCCCGACACAGCATAACAGGACAGCAATTGAGCATACCATCTCTTAAGAGGTAAACTAAACCAATTAAAGTAACTTTTTATACATTAAGCTTCACATTCTGGGCTCTTCCTGATGGTCTGTCAATCGAGCTTTGAGTTCCTTCGAATTATCACGAAAACAAGAGCACTTTCTGCCCTCCCCTTCACCTCAGCCAATGTCATTTTCCAATTAGCACAGTACAGTACAAGGGAACAATTCGACTTTGCCCTGAAAGCATTGACAGAAAATCCTAAACTTTTCAGAAGAGCACCATGTCCCCTAATTTCCCAGTTTCTTCATAACATTCTTGCAGTGTGCATCGATTCCCACATAACACTTTTCTTGCCTTTGGGAAGGGTGAGTTAGGCAAAAGCTGCTTTCTGTTTGAAAAATGTAATATAAGTGGCTGAATAATACAGCACAACTAAGTCAGGATAACGAATACATATCTATACATTAAATCAGTAGTTCTAGTTATATTTTAGAAAGAGATGCTCACTGTGAGCGCTGTCTGTGTCATAGTAATACTGGTATCGTTTTTAAAACAACATTTCTTAATTCATGTACAACACTAAGAAAATTACAAAGCACAGCAATATTTGTTTTTTATATATAGTCAACAGGAAACATATCTCTATATGGTATCCATTTGGTGACATATACTTATTATTTTATGTTCTAATGATCTCTTGCGTGCACCTTGTTGCTTATTTGCACCAATAGACATGAACAGAACAGACTCTTCTTTCCTATTTACCTTCAACAAAAACTTTACTCAGTGTCATTTTCAACGAGGTTGCCATGTTAGTCTGTTTCAGCATGTATAACAAAATAAAAAGTATTATGGCATTAGGTATGTCCCAGGATGTTGAAATGAAACTGGCTTTTGTGTGTTGCCATTTCTGGTTACAAATTTGTGTCCCTTTGTTTTTTTGCACATAGATAATTTTTTAAAATGTAAAAAAAATTCTCCTGCATGTAGATAGCCCTATTTGTGCACAGACTGGAGAGAGAGATATGTTCCAGGACACTCTTGTCACTGATCTGAAAGTGATTGTAATTGAGGGGGAAAAAGAGAAAGTTGAAAAGGGAAATTAGAGAGGAAACAACTGAGGTAAGCTAAATATCCAAATTCCAGAGTGTGTCTCAAAGCATAAATATAGCCCATGGATTCTTAACCTGCTTTGCGGTATGTATAGTTTTGCTTACAGTAGTCTTGTGAATAAATTAAAATTATTGACTTGGGCCTCAGAACCAGAAGCTGAGTTGGAAAGCAAAAACAAAAACATGCTTCTTTCTGGAAAAATCTGGAAAAGGTTGTGTGGTCCTGGAAACTGTACAAATGCAGGAACCGGTGATCCAATAAAGCCTTCTTTCTGTTTCAGCAACTTTATCAAAGACTGCCTTAGGCTTGAGACAGGTAGATACACCACCTCTAGCTCTACCCATTTACTGTATATAGCCACCACTCTCAGAGTTCAGTAGGATTTGTGTTCATAAAGTTCCTGTCACTTTGAAATTTCATTTTTAGTGCTGTGCCCATACCCACAATGTATCTAAAAGCCTGTGACTAAATAATTTACTCCATAGGTCTGAGGAAGTGGATTGCAACCCAACACAGTTCTCATTGAAATAAATGTCACTTTCGGTTTGCATTTTCTTTTATTTGCTTCATGCCGGCGGACCTGATAAACGGGCTCGGTCAGAAGCTAAAGCGGGTCCTCATAAAAGCCAGTTTGGAAGCGTCCCGCCGAAGTTTGCCTTCCAGGAGCCCTTCGCGGTCAGGAGGGAACATGGCCGTCTCTCCCTCTGGCATTCTCCCGGGGGAAAAGGCGGGGGCGGCGGGGGTGGGGGGGGTGGAGGTGGCGGGGGCGGGCTCTATAGTATCGGCGGAGGTGGCCAAGCAAACAGGACGGAGGCGCGGTCGTTAAGTTGTTTTTCACTCCTTGTTCGGCAGCGCCGTGCGCTCGCCTTCTTCACGACAGGTGGCGGTAAAGCGGGAAGGAAAGCCGTCTCTGCTGGGCTGCTTCGACGGTGGGCGCTCCGCGTTCAGGGAAAGGTGCTCTCAAGTCGGTAGGGAAACGCCTAGACACGTGTCCAGATATTTGGGGGCTTTGCAAACGACTCTGTGGGTCAGTCGCGGTGGCTGCCCAGGGAGCATTTCCTTCCTGAGGCCGGCGTGAGGTGGCATTGGCGTGAGCCCAGGACTGCGGTGCGGGACCTGATCCTGAGAGAGGAGCAATTCTGATTCCACCTCAGCTTTGGGGAAACTCTCCTGTGAGGCATTTGTTTAACTCACTGCTGCAGTTAGTTTTCCCGCACTAAATGTCTGGCAGCCCTAAGATGGAGACGGATGAGGAAACTATTTTAAAGTTGAACGGATGGTTTAACAGTAGGCTTGCTGAATTCAGCCATATAAGTCCCATTAATTTTTCACTGATGGCTGTCAGTTATTTATTGTAAATATTTATGAATTGTTGCAAATATTTTTAATTAATGAAACATTATTTCAGATTCCTCCCTCCCCCCACATATAGCTGATATGTATTTGTTTTTTAAAAGCCTTAATTTCACTTTGGGGGGGGGGACGAGAGAAGAAAAAACGGCAGGGTAGAAAAATTTGTTTAGGAAACATCCATGAATGACCTAATCCAGTCTTTACAAATTGTAACTGGGAACAGCTTTCAGTAGGAGATTACCAGCAATCCAACTTGATACCATTAGTATACAAAACATTGTTTTGCAACTGAACTATATTGATCCCATAAAATAAAATCAAAATGTACAAGAATTATAAGCAAAAGCAGTAAAAATCCAATAGCAGCCATGCAACCCATTGAATCAACAATGATACTTACAGGATGACTTATCAAAGACTTATTGATTGAATGGATCTTATCTTGTTAGGACTGACAATTAGATTTAAGCCAATGTATCTGTTAAACAATCCTGTACCTCTCCATCCTTGCCCTAAGAGTGATATATACATAAATGTCAATATATCATATGAGTCATGGTGAAACAGGCTGGTTCTGTCCTGTCAAATGCTTGGCAACAGAGGGGGCATAAACAAAGATCTGACTGCAAGTGGACTCCAATGCACCTATACCACAATGGGACTGGTGTAAAAATGGCCAGTAGCACCCCTGGAAGCCTCTAGGGGTAATTGACTATTTAAATTATATTTTGTTTCCCCCAGCCCCCCTTTTTGCCAAAAATAGCATTTTCTATTAAAAAGAAGAAGAGATTGCTGTTTGTGGTTTTAAAAGAGACTGGTGGGGGCTGGAACATCATATATGCCTCTGGGGACATGATGGACCATATTCACACCAGACCCAAAACATTCATCAGAGGTAGACTGGCTGGGGTGAATGCAGGATGGGCCAGATCTAAGGAAAAATGCATCTGTCCTGGAGACTCAGTGAAGTTGCCTTCACTTGAAGCAGAGAAATTATAATTCCACCAACAGAACATCCTTGGTATAAAAGTCGAGTAAAATTCATAAGAATGTTCTAGTAACTATAGTAATATCTTGTACAGTCCAACTGGGAAGTAAATCCCGCTGAACACGATTGGATTTATTTCTGAGTATTCATGCATAGGACTGGAGGATAATAAGTTAAAAGTGTCCAGTTATGCTGATGGGATACTTGGGGGGGGGAAATGTATAGTGAGAACCAAGAGAGTCCCAAAACGTATATACATTTTCTACCTCTTACATTTCACAAGTTTTAGTTTAATATTAAATAACCAAAACTGTTGAACGTTATGTCTGTGGTGAAAGTTAAATGATGGAATTAAATAAATTTAAAACATTTTCAGAAACGACAGATAAACTGACTTATTCAGAAGAGATATCTGTGGAAAAAAGAGTGTCAAATTCTAAGTGAATGTAAAATTAAAGAATTATCTTGTCTTTGGGAACAGCCACAAGTTAACTACTCGATTGTTTATTGCAGCACCATTATTAATATATTCAAGAATTTTACCCACTCAACTTGAAATAAGTTTCCTTACAGTATCAAACATGAGGATAGTGATTAGGTCCTTGTTAAGGAGCAGCAATTTGTCACCAAGATGTGCATGTGTGCTGCCACATTGAAACCAACTTATAGTAACCCTAACAGGACTTTCAAGAGAAGTGAGATATTTAAAGAGTGATTTTACCAGTTTGATTCCCCTAGTAAACAGCCATGGCTGAGCGGGAATTTGAAACCAGACTTTCTGAGTCCTAGTCCATCACTCTACCCACTACGCCACATTAGGTATCCAAAAATGCTGACTAGTTGATTCTGATTTATGGCAACCTTTTCCAGGGCTTTCTACGTAGAGAATACACAGAAATTATTCACCATTCCCTCTCTTCTGGGGGTGCCTGGGACTATACAGCTTGCCCATGACCACTAAGGCTGGCCTTTTTCCCAGGAGGCAGAGTGGGGAATTAAACTCCTAGCCTCTTGCTGTGAAGCCAGATATCTAAGCCACTGAACTAACCAGCCAGCTAAATGTGTGCTGTCAAGTTTATTTTGACTTATGGTGACCCTTTTCAGGGTTTTCTAGGTAGAGACTACTCAGAACTTCACACCGTGGGACTGTGCAGCTTGCCCAAAGCCACACTGGCTAACCAAACTCCCAACCTCTGGCTCCATAGCCATATACCTAACCCACTCACTGAGCCGTACAAGCATAAATCAGCAGTAACATGCTGGTCCTCAGTTACTCAATTAACTCAATTATAGCTATAATCAGAAAAAGCTGATTGACAGTTTGGGTAATTGTTCAGATTTAGTTAAAAGAGTTCTCTTTAAAAAGTTACTGTTATTAAAAGAATTAGAAGATATGAAACTATGTCAAGCCATACTGTAGGCACTGAATGACAGAAGTAGACCTGATTAATTATATAAAAGATGAAAAAATGGGAAATGACTGCTGTTCTTTGCCTGCATCACATGATATACAATGTGAAAATATGACTTGTCTCTCCACTCCACCCCCACCCTATCCCTCCAAGCAACATGGACATTCTGGCTTCAATTGAAATTGAATATATCAAGAATTTGCAAAGACAAGTCTCCTTACTGGAATGTGAGACATCCTATCTATATCCTTTTAAAATAATACTTTTATTATCACAGGTAGTTCTTGCAAGTAGTTCTTGCAGGTAGTTCTTAGCAGATACCTAGATTGGATTTTTGACTTACAGCCGTCTTGACTTGCAACCAATTCGAGTTACAACCAGCTCCGTTCACAACATTTTGCTTTGAATTGCAGCCGGCGCTTTGAGATACAACCTGAAAAAAGGCCTCTTTTCCCCATTGTTCCCTCCCTCCTTTCCTGTCCTTTTTTTTTATTATTATTATCCTTAGAGGTCATTTTAGGTTTTTTTTTTTTTTTAAAAAAAGTCTCCCCCTAGTGGACAGATTAACTGAGATGCAACCAGCACCTTGAGATACAACCAAAAAACAGCCGGAACGGATTAATCGCTTTTTAATGTATTCCTTTGGGAAATGGTGCCTTGAGTTATGACCAACTTCAATTACAACCATCATCCAGAACGAATTAAGTTCGCAACTCAAGGCACCACTGTATTCAGTTCCAACATTAAATATATTTCAGTAAACTTTGTTTGGGAAGACTGAGGATTGACATCTACCGTATTTTTCGCTCCATAAGATGCAGTTTCCCCCCCAAAAAAGTGGAGGGAAAAGTGTGTGCGTCTTATGGAGTGAATACTGCCCCCCCACCCCATCACTCCCTTCCCAGGCCTCCGGAGGCCTCAGAAGGCCCCACCCTCACCGACACTCTCAGAGCCTTCCCCGGCTTACAAAGCACCGGCACCCAGCCACTTCTCCTTCCTCCTCCTGCCGCATGCCCCGTCCACGGAGCTCCTCCAACCTGCGCACCCCACCCAGGGTGTTCGGCGGTGCTTACTCATGAGTAGACCCATGGCTCCTGCGGTGCTTACTTGTGAGTAGACCCGCCTTGCAGTCCTTACTCATGAGTAAACGCGCACATTTGGCCCCACCCCTCACCAACACCCTCCTACCTTAATCACCGCTGCTGAGGTCTTTTGGCCTCGAAGCCATGCATGTAGAAATGGAGACTGCCTGCCCTTTGCAAAGATGGTGGCTGTGGCTTCATTTAGGGTTGGGAAGCTGCAGCTGTCATCTTTGCAAGATTAAGGGAATCCAGGCTGCCTTTTGCAAAGATGGCAGCTGCAGCTTCCCTACCCTAAATGAAGCTGCAGCTGCCATCTTTGCAGAGGGCAGCCAGTTTCCATTTCTACATGCGTAGCTTTGGCCAGAAGACCTCAGTAGCGGCAATTAAGATTAAGATTATGGTGGGGGGACCTCTGGAGGCTTGGGAATGCAGCGATGCCAGTGGAGGGGGACCCCCAGGAGGCTTCGGACCAGTAAGGTGCTGCTTTTTCCTTTTTTAAAAAATGTTCTGGGTAGGTTTTGGAGGATAGGTTTGGGCTGGGGGGTATGTTTCTATGTTGCTTTGTTTTTTTGGTGAGGGTTTTTTTTTTTTTGCAGTCCCAGCGTGGGACTTGCACTGTTTATTTATTTAATTGCCCACCCCTGATACAGAGGAATATTTTTTACTGTTTTCTTCTTCTAAAAATTATATGCATCTTATAGTCAGGTGTGTCTTATGGAGCGAAAAATACAGTATATTGTTTTGAAAAATTGCCACTTACTAATTTTATTTACCATGAAAATTTTTAAAAATGGCTCTCAGCCACACTGAGATCAGCCACTGCTGCTATAAACTGTAAAAGATCTTTTGCCTTACATTTGGAACCACATGACTATGTCCATTTTTATAATATGTGCATACAATAGCAATTTGATTGGTGCATGTGGATGACCATAGTGCCTATTTACTGGGGGAGGGGTGAACCAGACAATTTCCTTGTTTTTGTACCTTATGTTGATTATGATGAAATATGACATGTTTTAATTTTCTTCAAAGCACCACTTTAAAATATTCAGCCCCAATTGTAACATGCAGCTTAAACAAAGAGGAAAAAAGTTTACACTAGAAACAGCCTCTCCATACAGCATGTTTTCCTCTGAAATTAATAGGGATTGGTGATTACTTTTGTCTAGCACTGAAACACTCTTGAGAAAAATATTTGTGTCTTAGATTGTCTTTTTGGTAATAATAAGAAGCAAAAAACAACAACAACAACAAAAACTAAGGCATCACTTCAGAAGCCCTACTCAGGCATTCATGTTAGGAGATATTTGCCACTTATTCAAGTGAAGCAGTCTGGTCTGATTCCACTCATCATCATAATTTGTGAATGAACAAAGACAGGCAAGCACAAACAGAAGTACCCCTACATTGTGTCTTAGATTGTCTTTTTGGTAATAATAAGAAGCAAAAAACAACAACAACAACAAAAACTAAGGCATCACTTCAGAAGCCCTACTCAGGCATTCATGTTAGGAGATATTTGCCACTTATTCAAGTGAAGCAGTCTGGTCTGATTCCACTCATCATCATAATTTGTGAATGAACAAAGACAGGCAAGCACAAACAGAAGTACCCCTACAATGAGTGGGGGCTCTCCATGTGAATTGGACCCCTAATTTTCAGACTCATTCTTTGATTCATTTTATTCATAATCTTTGTCCCAATAAAGGTAAAGGTAAAGGTTCCCCTTGACAACTTTTTTTTGTCCAGTCGTGTTCGACTCTAGGGGGCGGTGCTCATCCCCGTTTCTAAGCCATAGAGCCAGCGTTTTGTCCGAAGACAATCTTCCGTGGTCATATGGCCAGTGCGACTTAGACACAGAACGCTGTTACCTTCCCACCGAGGTGGTCCCTATTTATCTACTTGCATTTGCATGCTTTCGAATTGCTAGGTTGGCGGGAGCTGGGACAAGCGACGGGGCTCACTCTGTCGCGTGGATTTGATCTTACGACTGCTTGGTCTTCTGACCATGCAGCACAGGCTTCTGCGGTTTAGCCCGCAGCGCCACCACGTCCCTTGAAAGCAGCTCACAAGGTCCTCACTGGCCAAAGGACAGTCAGGAGGGAGCTCTAGGACCTGTGTCCTAGAATGCTCTCTTTTGAGTCTCAGGTGTGCCAGGGCAGGTGGTGGAAGTGAGAGAAAGGCCTTCCTCAAAGATCTTAAACTCCAAGGAGACTCTGCTGTCACGCAGAGATGTAGTCCATCAGAACCTGGACTTAAGTTATGTAGGGCTTTCTGGATCAGACCCAGAACTTTGAATTGTGCCCAGAAATGGATAGTCACTACTTACTGGGCATCCATTACTAATATATCCTTGTGTGATTGCAAATGTGACTCATGGTGTGCATTTAGCAAAAGACTGAGGTACTTATAGAGCAGGGGTCAGGGAACTTTTTTACCATTTATCCCCCCAAAATTTATATACAGTGGTGCCTCGCATTGCAACGTTAATTCGTTCCGCAAAAATCACTGCAGAACGAAAACGTTGCAATGCGAAATAAAAAAGCCCATAGAAACACATTAAAACGCAATTAATGTGTTCCTATGGTCTTGAAACTCACTGTTCAGCAAAGATCCTCCATGGTGCGGCCATTTCTGGTGCCTCTTAAGCGAGGAATCTGTCCCAGAAAACAGCGGGCGGCCATGTTTTTTCCCAGCGGCCATTTTGAAACCACCGATCAGCTGGCCGAAAATGGTCGCTTTGCGATGATAGGTCATCGCAAAGTGAAATTCCATCATAGGGAACATCGCAAAGTGATCGCTTTTGCGATCGCAAAAAATGCGTCACAAAGCAATTTCGTCACTAAACGGAGCGATCGCTGTGCGAGGCACCACTGTACGCCGACATTACTCCCTTGATTTGAAAGGAAGGAAATGATACATTATTTGAATTCAAAATATTTTCGAATCTACACAGGCTGTGAACCAAACTAGCAGGATATATCAATAGTATCAATGGCTGCCAGGCTATGTACTGAAATAGCAGAATGCACCACATTTAATAAAGATGTGCACTATTTTTGCTGGAACACATGGAGTGCTATAGGAAGTAGTAAGGTGTCCAACATGCCTAGCAAGTTGCATTAAATTTTTGCTAGCTCGCAAAGGATTTAATCATCATCAATGGCTGCCAGAGTGGTGCTAGCAATGATGTGCTTGCTAGAGACAGCCAACGCAGAGTTGGGGGGTGTGTGTGTGTTCCTACCACTTTAATCATTCTGTGTGTGTTGTTCAAAAAGGAACAAACCAGGCTGAAGGTCATGTCATCCATCCTGGTGCCACAACCCAATATCTAAGGACCAGTGCACTATTTTTTTATCATCATCAATGGAAAACTCAGCAGTGGCCAGAGGATTGAAAGATCAGTCTACATCCCAATCCCAAAGAAGGGAGTGGGGACTTTACAGCAAGATTTCTTTGCACAAGGTTGTCTTTCCCCTGAGAAGCGTCACAGGAAATTTTGTGGGATTACTTGTAATTTTCATAGTCATCTTTTTTTCCTGAAAGAAATGCCAAGTTGTACAATATTATTATTTTTTGCACACAAAATGTCATCTTTCCTGCAAAGGATTCACTAGAATGGTTATTAGATTAGGCATCCTTCAGTCTCGAAAGACTATGGTGACGTGCTCTGTATGGAGGACTTGGAACAGCGTCTAGTGTGGCTGAAGAGGCCAATTCGAGAGTGACAATCTCTTCCACACTGAAGACAAATCCAATCTGTCCCTGTCCAGCTCCCTGGTTTTGCTGCTTTTGTGACTTCCTCTTTGCCTCGGCCTGCTGGACAAGGGTCTCTTCAAATTGGGAGAGGCCGTGATGCACTGCCTACCTCCAGGCTGAACGGTCAGATGTCAGGGTTTCCCATCTGTTGAGGTCTATTCCTAAGGCCTTCAGATCCCCCTTGCAGATATCCTTGTATCGCAGCTGTGGTCTCCCTCTGGGGCGATTTCCCCGCACTAATTCTCCATACAGGAGATCCTTTGGAATCCGACCATCAGCCATTCTCACGACGTGCCCAAGCCATGTCGTGGTTATTAAACTTCAGAATTTGGTGGTGTCCTTCACAGAACAATGGGTGAAAATGGGACGGGGGGGGGGAGAGAGAACAAAGTAGGGCCTCAGTTTTTATGAGAAGCTTAAAAATCTCACTGTTGCTGTTTTGGTGAGATTCATTTGTTATGGAGAGTGAAGCAATACTGTGATTTAAAATTTTGGTGCAGATGGGTGTTATTGCAACAGGTTGACAAAAGAGACAAAAAAAAATTTTGTCCAAGAAACAGAAGGATGTAAGGTTCTAGTCATCCCTTGCCATTGGCTGCACTAGACAGAACTTGTGAGAGCTGCAGTTCAACAATAGTTGAATTCAAAGGATAGGATTCTGGTCCTTAATTGGAATAAAGCAGTATGATATTGGTTTTTGCATCCATTAGTAGTGCAAAAAAAAAATCTTAAGAAAATAGTAAATCTACAGACAGCACAACATTGTTAATATGAAAAGTACTTTTAACTAGTGGACAGGTCTTCCAAATATCTCTAACAAATGTTCCTTAATTATGCATCAAAAACCAAGGAGAAGGCTAAAAAAGCCACAAGCTTCCAACCCAAGTTTACCAAAGAGGCTGAAAAAATGTTGCAAAAGATGAAGGTAACTTACTAAGTATTTACTAGGTTCTCATATGGTTAAACGAATTCTATTTTTAAACTATTGTTACTTTGATCACATTGAGATTAGAGCATGAAAAGTGTCCACTGACATACCAGGAAGTTTCAGGGTCCCGTTCCTATGGTTGCTTCTTGTGGCTTCTTAGGGCCATTTCTGCATGCTTCGGAACCCTACAGTGTTGCTGCACAGCTGGAAACAAAATAATCAGGGAAATTTGCAAATGTATACAAGCACTTCGTGCATTCATGCAATGATCCTTGTGTATTATGTTTTTCACATTGTTTTAACCAAGGAGGGAAACTTCATTCATTCATTCATTCATTCATTCATTCATTCATTCATTCATTCATTCATTCATTTACTGATCCATTAGTACCAAAGCAGTAACAGTTAAAACAAGCTACACAGAGCAATGAACACTAGATACTAATAAATACCAAAAGCTTAGTCTAAAAAATTTAATAACAAATAATGTCTCTCCATACTTGCAGTTCAACAACTGCAACCTCTGCCATCCCTTCCTGTTGGCCATGTTGGGTAAGACTGATATGAGTGGCAGTCTAACAACAGCTGGAGGGCCACATGTGATTTATTAGATGATTGTTGTTGTGTTTGTGTGTGTGTGTGTGATTTATTTTTTAAGAATTGTTTTGTGATTTATTTTACATTTATGCTATTTTGGATGTAAACTGCCTAGAGTAGTGCCCAGCACTAATTGGCATGGTATACAAATATAAGAAAGAAAGAAAGAAAGAAAGAAAGAAAGAAAGAAAGAAAGAAAGAAAGAAAGAAAGAAAGAAAGAAAGAAAGAAAGAAAGAAAGAAAGAATATCCCCCAACTTTAGTTTAAAATATAGACATTAATGAGGTATGATGTGTGGACACTTAGCCACTTGTTTCTTGTAAATAATGTATCCTTACAATTATACAACAATCCTTAATCAGGAATGAGGAACTTGTGGCTCTCTGGGTATAGTTGGATTACAACTTCCATGATTCCTCTGCATTTCCTATACATGTAAGGACCAAGAAGAGCTACAGTCAAACATCTGGAGGGCCATAGTCCATGCCCAACAATCCATCAGTTGACCTGATGGCTATGAGCCAGATGGAGACAGAATCAACTAAAAAGGCAGTCAGAAATGATGTTAGTAATGTTCACCTGGGGAACAGACATTGAAGAACTCTCCACTGCAGTGAGCTCCCTCGCCTCAATGCTGTCTTTGAGTTTATGGTTTTTTCATCCCAGTTGATGATGTCAAATACCTGTTACAATATCATCTGTTATTTCACAGAACCATTGCATTGTAAGAATAGGGAATGTGATAGCACTTTTTCATCCAGCCTCTGCCCCATTTGAGAAAGGACAATGTACTGTACATTCAAAAATCTACTCACATAAAAAGTAAATAAATAAAAAGCACAAGTGCATACTAAGTGTAAAAGTGATATTTGCAGAAGGCTCTTCGGACTGGAAGTGTACCCTTCCTGACAGTGTCACCTAGTCCAACAGTGTATCTCTGTTGAATGTCAGCTCCCCCAGCCACAGCCCACCATGCACCCCCAAAACTAAATCTGGGAGCTGGATACCCTCTAATCCTGGTGGGCTTTTTGGGGGGGGGAGGTTATAGGAAAATAAAGTTCTCTTTCAGCAGGCAACACTGGGTTTAGCCTAGTAGTGTGAGTAGTTGTCTGTGTCACCTAGTCCAACAGTGTATCTCTGTTGAATGTCAGCTCCCCCAGCCACAGCCCACCATGCACCCCCAAAACTAAATCTGGGAGCTGGATACCCTCTAATCCTGGTGGGCTTTTTGGGGGGGGGAGGTTATAGGAAAATAAAGTTCTCTTTCAGCAGGCAACACTGGGTTTAGCCTAGTAGTGTGAGTAGTTGTAATCTTGTCTATTTTGTTTGGTTTCGGCCCTGGGTCTTCAGCATAAATTCATGCATTGTATGTGGTTAACATATATATTTTAAAGGAACTGGAGATCAGAATAAATGCTGCCCAAATTGAAATGACAAAGAAAACAAATAGCATCAAGATGTTTGAAGCTGAAATTCAAGCAATGCAAAGACGCCTTCAAACACTGTCTGGTAATAAATAATTTTTTTATCTGTATTCGTGAAGGCTTTCACGGCCGGGATCTAATGGTTGTTGTGGGTTTTTCAGGCTCTTTGGCCGTGTTGTGAAGGTTGGAAATCTTCCAGAGCACAGAGTGCTGTCCTCTGAAGATGCCGGCCACAGAGACTGGCGAAATGTTAGGAAGAACAACCTTCAGAACATGGCCAAAGAGCCCGAAAACCCCACAACAACCAAACTTTTTATAGTTAATATAGTCATAGCTAAATCAAGGTTTACTTTTAAATACAAAGTTCTAGTTCAGATATCTCCATTATTGGATCACTAAAGACTTATGAATGGATGCTAGTTTGATTTTACTGTGTGTGGCAATAACATTTACAAATAATTCATCCAGCCTGATGCCTATTTATTATTTTGAATGGCACAAGCTATTGTTCTTAGTCCCCATACAAGACTCCTTGGGGAAGCCCCATATGTTGGTCCTGCTACCTTCACAGTCACCATCTAGTGATGACACAAAATAATGCTTTTTCAGCAACTCCTCCTCTCAGACTGCCTTATGAGAGGTTGTCCTCTTTGACCCTCCCTCATTGAAGATTGAATTGACACAGTGACCAAACTCAAGGTGATTAACACTATGCACCTCTGTATTTTATGTTATTTTTATATTAATAATATTGATAGAAATGTAATAGGGCCAGACTAGTGCTGATAACTTCAAAAACATTTGGGCTCCATAGATTGAATATCCCCAAATATCGGAAAGGAATATAAGCTGAAGCAATAGCTGGAACAAGAAAAGCAATTTTATTTTAACACATTCAACAAGGTTAAAAGCTTTGTGGTTTTTCTGTTCAAGGCACAGAGCAGAGCACATACACAACAGGATTCAGTGTAAAAATTGCCTGGCAATTTTTTATTAACCCACTCCCTACCCCAAACCATCTTTTCTGCCAGCTAATAGCCAAAGCCAGTTCTTTCTAGAATGGATGGTTTCCTGTTCCTTTAACTCTGAATTATCTCTATCCCCAAATTCTTTTTCCTCTCCTGAGAATATCTAAATATTAGCCCTACATTGCTTAATCCCATCTGGTCCCCAAAACAGCAAAGCACTCTCTGATGCTTAAACTATGTTTACCAGCCTTTCAGATCTCCCACCCTGTTCCAATTAGCCACCTCTTCACTGAGTGATGATTGGCTGCAAAGTCTTCTGGAAGTAGTTCAATCAACTCTCACAGCAGCTGGCAGGCACACACCTTTAGACAAACATTCAACATTTCAGAGAATAGGCACATTTTCAGAAGTTTTAAATTGCTTTATGTTAGCAATATTTTATCAATACATATTTAATTGAATTTTAATATTAAAAGCTTATGCTTCATTTTTGTGAGCTGCTTGGATATCTACATTAGGAGAAAGGTTGAAAAACAGCCATGACAATTGCTTTGGGTGAGAAGTGGTTAACTGATGAAAAAAGGGAATCAACTTCTCCCTAGCTTGCTCTCACTTTGTGAATGGTAGTGACCACAAGAGGGTATCCTGCAGACCATCTTGACTGCTGTCATTGGTGTTCTCAACATTCAGGGTGCCCTTTGTTATGTAAAGCTTGTTATCCTTTTTCCTGTTGGCAATGTGGGCATGATACTGTACAGCAATATTTTACAATTTCTTGGCATTTTGAATTGTGGCTATAGAAGTACAATATCCCACATTTACAAACAAGGTTTTTTTAAAGAACTGAACTAGGAACTATACTCGGATGTTGAATACTGTATATGTCTGCATATGTGGTCTATATTACTTTATTTTCGTTTACTTTCAGCCATACTGTAGTACAACCCATGTTAGATAAAGGCACCAAATTCTGTTGCTGGTACTTTATATACAGAAGGTGGGTTTCCATAAAAATCTTCCACAACCTGGCACTTTCTAGACTACACTTTCTATTCTCCATGCTCAGCATAGCTAAAGGTGTTCTAGAAGATGTTTCCTGCTATTCAATACCCATCTGCTCATGGCCAAATTTACTACTGCTCTTTTTTGCTCAGGCAAAAATTTGATTAAGGAAAGGATATATTTATATATACTCATATAGCCTTTATGTGATTTTTTAAATACGTTGCCTATATATTAACACATAACTTATGAGTACTGTAAGTTGCTGATCAGCAAGATACTGTAACTTTCTCACTAAAGTCCAGATGCTGCTATAGGTACTCAATATGCTGTTTGTTTCAGCTAGAGACTTTGGGTGAGGATTGAACTGCTCATCAGAGTTACTTTATAGCCCAATTCTAAACCTAACTCATTTGGAAATATGCCTTTAGTTCCATTGGACATCTTTTCTATTAAGGATTATTAGAACTGCTGGATTAGAAATGTTTTGTAATGTAATTCAGCTGAGTATTCAGTCTAAGAAAAGAAATGGAAATTTACAGGGAAAATGTGTAGTTTTTAAAAGCACAAAGAAAGCCCAGTGATTTCCTGCAGATGCAAATGCTAGAGAAAAATCACTATTAATGGAGAATGCAACAAAACAGAAGAAACTGGCTGACATCACTACCCAGGACATTTCACACAAGGAAACAGAACTGCTAAAAGTCCAGCAACAAGTACAGCATACTATAAATTCAGTGAAGGAAAACGAGTGTGATGTTCATATTTGGAAAATGCAGGTGAGATGTTTCATAAATTAATTTTTGAAATATTGCATAACAATGGGGAATTGATGATATATTTTCTGCTGAGTGGCAAGAAATAAAGCATTGACTCAGCTTTCAAGGGCCAATGGAAAATGCAGGCTTCTGACTGTTAAATGTGTTAATGAAATACATTTACTGCTCGGTTGACAAATGAACTAAATGGAAGTCTCTGGCTTACATTTGTTTCAATTAATGTGATTACACTACAAATAGAAATACAATCTATTTTCTTACAACTTGGGAGGTGAACTTTGAAAAAGACAATTGTGGACTTGCTTATTATATAATCTAAAAAAAATGCTGTGGATCATCATCATCATGTGCCATCATGTCAGTTCCGATTTAGGGTGACCCCTTTTCAGGGTTTTTCAGGTAGAGAATGCTCAGAAGTGATTTTACCATTCCCTTCTTCTGGGGGGGGGGGGCATCCTGCGACTGTGCAGCTTGCCCAGGGCCACACAGGCTGGCTCTGCTTGCAAGAGATCAAGTGGGAAAATAAACTCCCAACCTCTGGCTCTGCAAGCAGATAACTAAACCACTGAGCCCTGGATACATTTTCTTAAAATACAAGTCTTACTAAACTTTATTGATCCTCCAGAAATGAACACCAGAACCTTTCTTTGAAAATATCATTTTCAGTCTCTCTACAAAATAGCAGCCTCCAAGATTATTGACAGACAACTTTGACAGTTTGAAGCACACAAGAAGCCTAATCTAGCGCATTGTCATATTACTTTGAAACTTTATATACAATTTATCTCTCTTCCTTTCCCTGAAGTTACTATTACTGTTATAAAATATATTCACAGTACCTGGTTGCTTTCCTCAATATCCAGTCATAAGGTTTCCATCAGTAGGAGGTGACATGATGGCACATAAAAAGAACGTATGAATTGCACACACAATTTCAGTCATCCTATTACTTTCAAAGTGTAACTCTGTTTTCGTTATCTACTCCCAAAAGGTAACCTACTCAAAAGTAAGTCTGACATTTGAAAATGAGAATTACTTCCATTTAAGTAAAATTGGAAACTTACAGTTTGAAATTCAAATATGCTCACATCTTCTCCAGTCAAGCTGCAATTGTATGGCATCATAGAAACAATGTTTTTATGAAAATGCAAACAGCAGCATGCTAACAGTGAATGCTCTATAGGCCTGAAAAAACTAGGTGTGCATTGGTGAACTGATGAAGAATTCCATGTCCCCATCCATAAGAGCAGCGAAACTCTGGGATGGTATGTTTATTATGCTATAAGATAATTCTAGAGACTTTGCCTGCAATAACCTCTCTTATTAGTCAGTAATCAAGCATAAGTAGAAAGGTGTGTTGAATGTTTCACTTTCCAGTGTGCTTTCTTCAGCTTCAGCAGAATATTCAGCAGCGTCAAGATATGGAACAAAAACTAGCAGAAAACAATTCAGAATGCCTACGGCTCCAAGCAATATTCCATCATCTGGAAGAGAAATTCCTTACCAATTCCCAGTCTTCACAACAGCACATTGCTAAACAACTTCGGTAGGTGTGTGAATATTGTCAGCCACCTGAAAGAGGTGAGCGAGATGGCATGTCGAAATAGGGCCTTCTTGGCTGTTGCCCCCCAACTTTGGAATGCCCTCCCTGTAGAGATCCGCCTGGCTCCAACACTCTTCGCTTTTCGGCGCCAGGCAAAGGCCTTTCTGTTCAGCCAGCATTTTAATTAAACAGTATTCCCTAGCTGGCCACATGAGCAGCAGGACTTATAAATTTTTAATACTTTAAGAATTGTTTTAATATATGATATTTTATATTGTCTGTCAAAATGTTTTTACTGTTTTTAAGTTTTAATGTTGTACGCCACCCAGAAGCCACTGGTAATGGTGCGGCGAAAAATATTGTAAATAAATAAATATTGTAAATAAATTTAATACTTCCAGAACTGTTGTATATCTTATTTTCACATTCTGTGGCCAGTGACTTGTGTGTAAAACTCGTAGAGTTTTTTGGAGCAATAAAAGTTGAGCTGAGGTTCCAGAAATGGACCATCAGCCTACCACTCCCTTTGCAGTCTACTCCAACAGTAGGCTGGATCTCTGTGATCTTGGGACAGGAGCTGCAAGTTCTTACCCTCGAATCCTGCTCTAGGCCACAGTAGGTCTGGAAATGACCATATAAAAATAATCCATCCCAGATGGATACCTTTGGTTTCTAGTTTTGGCTTTTTGGAGGGAGATGTCTTGGGGAAATCCTCTCATCTTCCCCTAAGCTTGAAAATGATGGCTTACGTCTTGTAATTTTGGTTATTCAAGTCATCTGTGAACTCACACAATAGCTGTGATGTCTGTGAGAGTCATGCTTGGAACATTCTGGAGCTGAGCTGTTTAAGTGTAAGATCTGTCCTGTCCTCTAATGCATATGCACCACTCAATGTGCAAGACACTGAAAAAAGCCTTTGTGATTTCCTGCATAGCAAAGGAAATTATGGAGAGTCTACGTGAGCATCAGACAGGTAGACTACAATTGGTAGAATATGCTGAGGAATACCAAGGGGCTGAGTGAGGCAAAGTAGAATAGGTGACCACAAGTTTCTCTGTTTTGTTAACACATGGCAGTTGCCTTGCCCATTACTATTTGCACCAAAAATTTAAAGGTGAAAATGAGAAAGAAAAACGCTCAAGTTTCAATTGTGTAGAATTTTACAAATGTATTGCTTTGGTGACAGACAAAATGGAGCTGAGGACCTTGAGCTTAGGTGTGGTCAAGGGTCTCCTGCCTAAACAACTCAGCTCTAAAATATTCAGAGCTTGGTTCTATGTAGATGCAGAATCCATCTGTGTGAGCCACAGGGTCTACAATGAAGGATCGCTGTTCATGGGCGCTTTAAAAATGCTTTAGAATACTTTAATACTGTCTGGATATTAGATACAATAGAATACAACTCTGCAGCTATGAACTGATAGTAGGGAAGTTTTCAGTTTATCCCAATGAACCTCACTAGCATGTGAAATGTGTATGAGTAAATTAATTTCCCAGGTTTTTTTTTCTTGGATAAAATAGATAAAATTGTCACAAATATTTTTTTTCTGAATATCTCACATGAATTCATATTTTAAATTTATATTTAGTGAAGAGGCTGGAAAATTAAGACAAACTCTCAAGGAGAAACAGCTGTCAGCTGATGAGGATAAATACTTATGCAACAAGATGGCAGAAGACTGTGGGCATCTTACAAGGCAGAATTGTCTCTTACAGGCACAGTTACTGGAAGCTACCAGGCAACTAAACAGAGTAAGTTTCTCCAGAATGTTAGTTCCATCGTTTCAGTTCCTATCTGACAAAGATATGAAAAGTCAGAGGCGTTTTCTGCTGCCTGAATTCTATTTGTTATATGACCTAGGAACAACACAATTCTCCCCTTGTAGAAAAACATGGGTAGGCATCATGCAGCCTGCTTTATGAAGGAAAGAAATATTGCAGGGTTAGCACATAATATGGAAACTATGGAATGCTTCTCCAACTACTTCAAACAAACTACCACTCATATAGCAGCAGCTAAATATAATGAACAGGATCAAGTTGATGATAAGACAAAAGCAGTTGCGCTGTTCACCTAAAAGGTAACGTGTCAGTATCTGTCTCAATGAATTTCTACTGTGGAAATTCAGAATCTGTATTATTTGCCTAAGACAGGGCATTTGTTTGCCCAGGCTGAAAGGGCATTATAAATATGTGGTCACCTGTATTTTGTTGCATTTGATTATTTATACCAAGATAGTTGCCAGTTTCAAGATGGAGAAGTATTATGCTGCTTCAGGCTACCAGTAAGTGCAGGTTGTTCATCATTTTCCCACCTCAGAGTCTGAAGCACTCTTGCATCTGTTATTTTCAAAGTACGTACACGGTGGACACTGTGGTTATGTCCAAAAATTTGGCCAGGAGGAGAAAACGTCACAAGGTATAGAAACAAGTCAGGAAAAGGGAGAAGGGGGACCTTAAAGACTAACAGTTTTCATGTCAACTTCCGTGTATCAACATCCCCTTTGTCACACATCTTCCTCCTGTGTCGGAATAACTGGATTTTGATCCACAACAGATCACATGGAAACAAATCTTTACAGTGCCACAACATATTTCCCCCTCCTCTTTTTTTCCACCATGCTATCTATTTGGTCTGAAGTACAGAAGCAGGCTCCACAGAGAAACATGGGGTAAAAAATTATACATAGGGCACTAGTATTAAAATACTAATGTAAAATGAAGTGGAAACACCATAACATCCATGCCCTATTGTTGTTGTCACGTGCCATCAAGTCACCTCTGGTCCTATGGATGAGCAATCTTCAAAAGGAAATTTTAAACTTGCTCACTGTTCAGTTATATGTTCTTTGATATCTGCATGTTTATTAGATTGTGAACCAGCCAGAATAGTGCATTGCAATAAATAATCCTGTCCTCAACTGCCCTGGTCAGCTCATGTAAACTCAAGCCTATGGTTCCAGTCCATTTTATATTTGGTCTTCCTCTTTTTCTGTGGCATTCCACCTTTTCTAGCATTATTGTTTTTTCCAGAGAACTCTACCTTCTCATGATGTGCCTGAAGTAAGGCAGTCTCAGTTTCAACATTTTTGCCTCAAGAGATAGCCCAGGGTTGATTTTATCTAGGACCTATTTGTTTGTCTTTCTGGCAGTCCAAGGTATCTGCAAAGCTCTCCTTTCCAGCACCACATTTCATATGAATAATTTTCCCCCATCAACTTTTTTCACTCTTCAGCTTTCACACCCATAGACAGTGATCAAATATAAGAGTGTTGGTGATTTTGGCCTTGGTCTCCAGCAACATGTCCTTACACTTGATAATCTTTTCTAATTCCTTCATTGCTGCCTTTCCGAATATCCTTCTGTTTTTTTCCCCTCCATTTGGATTGATGATTGAAACAAAGTATACAAAATTTCTATTTCAATTTCTTCATTGTCAGTGCTAAACTTCTGTAGTTCTTCTGCAGACAAGATTTTTGTCTCCTAATGTTCAACATGAATTTAACCCAACTCCAGGAGGCAGTAGAAGACAAGGGGGCCTGGCGTGCTCTGGTCCATGGGGTCACAAAGAGTCAGACACAATTAAATGACTAAACAACAACAACAACAATGTTCATCTGCAGTCCTGCTTTGGCAACTTCTTCTTTTATATTCAATAAAATAATTTCAAGTCATTGTTGCTTTCTGCCAGTAAGATGGTGTCGTCTACATATCTTAAATTACTGATGTTTCTTGCACCAATTTTCATTTTCCCTTCATCTGAATATAGTCCACCTTTCTGTATGATATGTTCTGTATACAGATTGAATACATAAGGGGATAAAATGCACATTTGCACATAGGAAACCATTTTGTCTCTCCATTATTCTGTTCTAATACTAGCTTCTTATCCACAATATAGGTACATCAGGTACAATACATCAGGACAATCAATTGCTAAGACACACCCATTTCTTTCAGAATAGCCTGTAGTCTCTAATGATCTATACAGTCCACAGTTGTGGTAGACTTTGGTGCACTCCAGTAGCTAGCAGATATTTACAATATAATCTTAACTATTTGTTTTTGGAAGTTTGAACATCAGGCATTTCTCTCTCCATATAAGGTAAAAAAACTTTTTTCCAATCCTTCAAGCATCACTTTGTTTGCATGGGAAATTAAAGCAAGCTACTGCACTGCATAGCATCTCCTTTCTTAGGGACTGGAACATATATTGAACATTTCCAATCTGTAGACCATTGTTGTGTTTTCAGTATATTATTTCCACCTTCTCTTTATTTTCTCCTGGTCAGATAGTGTGCTTCCCTTTTAGTCGTTCAGCATTCCTAATCTAGGCTTGAATTTCCTTTAGATTTTTTTTATTTTCTGGAAGAGATCTTGTCCCCCCCCCCCCTTTTGCTGTTCTCTATTTCTTTGCACTGGTTACAGTAGTAGTTATCTTTGTCTCTGTGTATCAGTCGCTTAAAAACTGTGTTCAGGTTTCTGACCCTACCTCTGGCATCTTCAACTTTTTATTGTCTGTCCTTGCCTCATACTTATTCAAATTGTATTTCTTCATTTTAGCTTTCAATTTGCAAATCAATTGTCCTCTAGAATCTCTAAGAGTTGTTCCTAAATGCAACCATACTAGGCATAACATGTTCTTCCTTCCCCATGAGGAGTGCTTAGATCTACAGTTCCTAAAATGCTATAGCATCTCTATAGGAAAGGACAATCCTGTTGCCTGTGTAGTGTCCCGTCCAACCTTAAAACAGCTTGCGGCTGCAAATATCAGCCACCCTTGTCTTTAAAGAACTGGTACATTGAAACAGAACAAGCATTTCATGCTTACGGCCACAATCATGTGGGGCTGGATGGACTACAGCAACACAGGCAGTGAGATCAGTAGCATGTCTTTCATGTTTATTTTTGCAACTGGATTTGCTAATAGACTTTTTATACAAATATGATAGGAGAGACAGCTGCAAGAGAAGGAATGTACCTCTCACATACAAAGGGTGTCTGAATTAGCATCTGCAAGAGAGAGAGAACGGCAACTTGAAATGGATCTCACCTGCTTGAAGACACTGCTTGAAAGGAAAAAACAGAAGATTCTTAAGGCACAGGAACAGGTCACTAAACATTTTAATCTACTACCTTGGTAGACTGGTAATACTACTGCTGTAGAGCAGGTTACACATCTTTAAAGGTGGCAATAAAGGAGAGAGATAGACCAGCAACTTCCTAACCGAAGAGCTGATATTAGGGATGTGGCATTCTTGGGGGGGGGGGTTAAAGACTCAAAATCCCATAATTTTCCAAGAAATTTCTCCAATAATTCTTGCTCAAACAAGGAAGTTGCACGACATCATAGGAGTTGTAGTCCTACTGCCCTTTTGGCTCTATATAGAGCTCTTCCCCCCCCAAAAAAAAACTACTATTGTGTTTCCCCGAAAATGAGACAGGGTCTTATATTAATTTTTGCTCCAAAAACAACTTAGGGCTTATTTTAAGGAGATTTTTTTTTTCATGTACAACAATCTACAGTGGTTCCTCGACTTTTAACCTGTTGGAGTCATGAAGTGAGCCGGCTGATATTCTATGTAGTCACAAGTAATTAGGATAGCAAATAGTCTTAGAGAATAGAAGTTAAAGAAGTCAGCCACACACAAGAATGTCTGCCATCAGTGCTCCTGATGGGCGACTAGTAGAAGAAGACGTCAGATAAGACGACTGCCGTGCCCCCAGGAGGACTGTGTTTATTAACCTTACAAGCTCACAGATAGTTGACAGTATACAGATAGTTGACAGAGTTCAGATAGGACAATGGTTACATAATGCCATTATGATTGACCCAAGGAAAGGCAATTAAGCAAGCTCTCTATCACCTATGAGAAAGAAGAAGAATGGGTAGCAGCTCCTCCCAGAAGCAGCTGTGACATCATCCAGGAGAGTTTGCCCTACTACTGTAGAATCAGCCAACAGCTTAGCAACTTTGGAGAGGGGCATTCCCCCACAACAGCCATAATCCGTTCCAAAAGATGGATGTAACTCGAAATGGTCGTAAATTGAAGCACCATTTCCCATAGGAATGCATTCAAATGCATTTAATCCGTTCCAGCCAAAGAAAATAATCACACACAACCCCCCCCCCAAGAAAACACTGCCAGAGTCATTGTAAATGTTATTAATTTCTTCCGGCCTGGGGGGGAGAAAAGCAATCAAGCGTGCAAGACCCATTGGAAATGCAAAGAAAACAAACTGAGCAGATTGGAAATGCACAGAGAACAAAGGGGACTGGTCAGAAATGCAAAGAAAACAAAGGTAAAAGCAAGTGAAGCATGCAGGACCCGTCGGAAATGGGGAGCCCCCCAAAAGCAACCAAACCTCCCAAGACCCATCAGAAATGGGGGAGCCAAAAAAACAAACAAACCCCTCAAGACCCATTGGAAGTGGGGAAAAACTCCAAAAAAACAACCAAACTCCCAAGACCCATCGGAAATGGGGGGGAAACACCAACAAACCCCCCAAAACCCATCACAGCACAGAAACGTAACCCCCCAGCTCAAAACCACGCTGCAAAAACACCCAGAACAGTTTTTTAAAAGCAGAAAACAGCACCTTACCAGGCAGCCCAAAGCCTCCCTTCAATCACACACACACGGTCACTCAGAAGCAGAAGGAGGCAGTCCCAAGCCTCCTCCAACGCACACTCTCTAACTGCTGGGGCGAAAGAGCTACAAAGAAGCAGCCTCATTGCCACCTACAGTTAGAAATTTGAATTTCTCGCCTTTTTGCCTGCCTTTTTTCTGTTCATAAGTGGAAGCTCCAGTCACAAGTAGAAGATAAATTTTGTGGCCGGAGCTGGTCGTAACTTGAAATGGTTGTAAGTAGGGCCGTTCGTAAGCCGAGGCACCACTGTACATTTATTCAAATATAGTCATGTCGTCATCTTCTGGATGCTGCACAACGGTGGAGGGTGGGGTTTCACTTAACTGGGGGTTATTTTTGGAGTAGGGCTTATATTACAAGCATCCTGAAAAATCATACTAGGGCTTATCAGGTTAGGTCTTATTTTAGGGGAAACAGGGTACTCTTAGGAGGCACAAAGGGAGCTTCCTTTTTCTGAACAGCAGAGTGAGGCCCTGGTGCAGCTGAGTGAAATTCAGATGTCTCTAGCTAATGGTCTGTGACCCCTAGCAATATACGTAAAGGTGCCCAAGTGCAGCTAAAACTTCACATCAGTCAATTTTGCTAAAATCATTTTCTCTTTTACTATAATTATATTAGATACAATTAAAATAATATTTGTAAAAATATTGCTACAGAATCAGTTTTGTTGAGAGAAGAAGCCATGCTGTTTGTGTGGCACAAATGTGATGATAATGATGAATCCACCCAGGTGTTGGCCTTTCTATCCAAAGTTTCCCCCTTCAGTTTTTTGTGTTCATGCATTTCAGTCACTTATTCACCACATCATTTCCTCACTAAGAGGTCCCAGTATTTTTACTACAGGAAACTTTGTGCAGAAGGCAGTTCTTGTGACTGAACAGATGGCACATGTATTACAAGCCCAAGTTGAAAGTCTTGCTAAAGATGTGCTTATCAGAATGCCTTGGGACCATGGTTTTCATGACTGGATGCTCTGCATGGAAATTTCCATCTTGAAGCAAGTTACCAGATACATTACATATCTGGGAATAAGTAAACCAACATGTTCTTCTTTGCAGTTATCTTGCATGCCTTTCCAAAAAACTTAAGGGGTGCCATATAAGGAGGATGGAAGAATAAAAAGCACATGGAATCAAAGAGTCCCTGAAACATCCTTCAGACCACAAAATAAGACTGCAGTCCTACACACACCCATTTTAACATTAGAACTTACTTTTGAGTATATGTATACAGGATTTCACTGAACATTCCATATACCAAGTAATGGCTTTGCATAATTAAAAGGCTGTATATGTTAAAACTATGATGAAGGCAACATTGTGTATTAAATTAGCACCTATGCTTCTTGAAGTGTAAAAGAGCAAATGTTGATATAACTTTTTGAAAACTACTTTCAACAACCGCCTTTGGATCCTGCTGGCATAATGCTGTTGCACTAAACATTTTCCAGTATGACACTAGTTGTGAATATACCAAAATTATTTTTGATTATTACTACATAACTGCAGGAAAACTGTGGTCCCAGCAATAAGTTATTACAGTGATACTTTTTTTAAATGAGATCAATGCCTAGATAGTGATATATGCTAACTGAAACCACTTGTAATAGAAAATCCAAACTCACTCCGTGAGTGGGCAGTACTTTTGTTAAGATCAACTGTAAATGTACAAAATATGTCCCTCAAGTTTCCTCTTCTTTCTTCCAAATTTCTTCTTGTTGCTTATGGTGTTTAGCTTCCAAATGGTCTGTGTAATGTGCATGAGCATGCTCGATTTGCTGCAGCAGATTCATAACAATTACAACAGATGCAAGTCCTCCACAGTTCAAGACAGCATTGTAAATCTGACATGGACATCAAAATACCACTCTAAAATGTATCCAGTGCAACTTCATCATTTTGTTTTGCAACATATGCTTGAAACTGAGCCTTGAACTCATCGTGAGCAGCTGTAGTTAAAGTAGTGCACTGTTGCTTTGATTTTTCTGCTACTGTGTCATTGATCTGATTTGTGTGTAGGGTTTCAAGAACAGTCCCTATTCTGGTGAGTCTAAGATTTGGCTTTTATAAAATTATAATAGGATCAAATGTTGATAGGCCACACACTACCTTAAACTTCAAAGCACTTCTCTCAGTCAACCTTTCAACAACAGCTACGAGTACTACCATGTTTCAACACTAGACAAAACTTGGCCACTTGACATTCACTCAGTTTGGTTTCTTTCAACATCTTCTTTGCTGCAAAGCCAACGTCAACCTTGCTTCTGTCAAGCAAGTTCTCAGACAATTTCATGTCAATTGTTAACTGGGAACCGGAAGACACGTTTTGCAGCTTTTCTGATTTTATGCAACAACTCGTTAACTTCTTGATTAGCTTACAAAATTCTTCATACAAAAAAGGTGTCAATGGTTTTGAAACTCCTGTAGAAATAGCTCATGATCTCCAGCAATCGTTTTCATGAAAGCCATTTTGCACTTCATGAGTGGATCTTGCATTGCAGCTTTTATACAAATTGCAGGTTTACTGTGGGGGAGTTTTGATCCTTCCACATACTTCTTGATGTTGTCAAAAACAGTCATAGCTCTTATCAAGGCACTTAACATTCTCCAACAACCTAGTGGAGCAAAACCTCAGGGGAAATAGTGTGCTTGCAGTCATAGCAGTGTATGATGCCCTACTAGATGGGGAATCTTTGACCAGATAGTACATGTGGTGCAAGAATGAACTCAGGTTCCATTTCACTGCTTACAACCCTGTTTTAAAAGACCCATGTACAACATGAAGGGTACAAATTCCAAAGTCAATACTTCTCCTTTACAGTCAAGATTGGTTTTAATTTTTTAGTTTTCTCAGAAAAAAAATGATTTACATTTGGCCCATCCATAGATACCTGTAATAATTTTGCAACTGATAAAGACATGTCTTCTTAAAATTTCTTAAGGTCTTTAGCAGTAGCAGTTTGAAGAAAAGCATTGGTTAGATACAATTGGAAACTTTATGACAGTAATCATCCCAATAATGAACCGTTAAATCCATCTGCCCCTTTTGAACCACCTTATTCAAAGCTTCATCAAAACAGATAACAAATGTTTGGCATGGTTTCAGCCGTTTCAGTAAAAGATCAGTGAAATATGGTGCAAAGCCAAAAGCAACAACATACATAGCTTTTGTTTTTCCAAGATGAAACTGTTGAGCTATCTGGCTCTCCGAGAACATTTGCTTTAATAACTCACTGATGTTGTTACAAGAGTCAAACGGCATCTTCTTCATCACCAGTTGCAAAGCCCACAGGCACTCTGCTATCCCAACACAGTCCTTGATTACATAGGCAGCCATACTAGTGTGTAGTGGGTAATTCTTTGCCATTTTCATCACTCTGATCATGTTTTCCAGTTTTCGCAGGTGCTGTCTCTTCACCCTTTCTGGTTTTACTATCTAGTTCTAATTCCTATATTATTTAGTTCAAAGATTTTATAGCACACTTTACCATAACTTTTGCATTTGTCTCTAGCAACTAGTGATAGCCATGGAACAAAGTCAGGATGAAGTTTGAAATCCAGCCACTGCATATTAAAACTTGTCCTTTTAGAAGCCATCTTCAAAATGTGGTTTCACATACAGCCATACACAGAACCACTGCCTGACACCAAGATATTAGCAGATGTTTTCTGGCAAGTAGGAACTTTCCAAAGCTGGGAAAGGTTCACTTTCACTTTCTGGAACCAGTAATTAGCAAAACAGCAGCAAGAAAGGAGTTGGGAGTTTAAATGCTTACAGATAATTTCTGCAATCTAATGAAAGCTGACCACCAAAGAATTGATGCTTTTGAATTGTGGTGTTGGAGGAGGCTCTTGAGAGTCCCCTGGACTGCAAGGAGAACAAACCTATCCATTCTAAAGGAAATCAACCCTGAGTACTCACTGGAAGGACAGATCCTGAAGCTGAGGCTCCAGTACTTTGGCCATCTCATGAGAAGATTCCCAGGAAAAGACGCTGATGTTGGGAAAGTGTGAAGGCAGGAGGAGAAGGGGACGACAGAGGATGAGATGGTTGGACAGTGTCATTGAAGCAACCAACATGAATTTACACAACTCCGGGAAGCAGTGGAGGACAGGAGGGCCTGGCGTGCTCTGGTCCATGGGGTCACAAAGAGTCGGACATGACTAAACGACTAAACAACAACAGTGAAGCAGAAAAGCCACATTTGCAACCTTTATGCATGGGAGAACTCAGGGAAGAGGGTGAGAGAGTTGGTACTCTGTAAACTCCAGCAGGAACAAGCAATCATATTTGAAAAAAATACTTTGTATGGTGCAGAGTAGAAAATGGTAGTTGACTGTGAAATCCAAAAGGAACAAAAGTCATTTGCAACTCTGTGCTGGGTTTACGCAGGAGACAAAACATCCATTCTATACACAAGCATGACCCCAAATCATGCTTATATTTATATCTAAGTTAAATTAAGTACTAGCAGGTAGGGATGAAAACAGTTAGATATTTAAAGTTTGTACCTTGCTGAATGTTTAAGCTAGCCTTGCTTTGCAAATGTTACGGGCAGACGTAAATCATGCAGGGACAGAACTCAACAAACACATTAGGTTGGTTTCTGGCAGTTGAGCTGAGAAAGGGCATCATTAAGTTTTACTTGTATTCTGCTACTTCTCTGTTCCAGTTGCCATAAGATCATGCTCTTGCAGTAGGTCAAAAATCCACTGCTTGAATATATTTTAATTACAATTTCACAGACATTTTCTGACTATAGACCAATTTCCATTTCCCTTACTTTCCTGAAAGTGGCAACTCTGGATGGAGAATTTTATACAATATAAAGCATTGCATAATGCCAAAATCCTGTTGCACAGCTCTGTGTCCACAATGGAGATGATGTTACAGTCAGCGGCAAATCACTGCTGATCAAAGACTTCCTTCAGAGATTTCCTGGTGTATGTGACTTGCATTATGACTTGCATGAACTCTTGATTGTCTTTGATCAGCGATTTGCTGCTGCTGACATGACCACTGTTGCACATGTGGAGTGATGCAACAGAATTTTGATCACTGGTGTATTAACCATTGATCCAGAAAAACACATTACCCGTTTACAGATTTTATTTTGCTCCTGTGAATCAAAACAGCCTTGTTCTCCTTTGGCTTTGATAATAGGTATTTCATCTACAGCAAGAAAGCAGGTCTGTGGATCAAAATGGAGATTTGCTTCAATCACAAATAACAGATTTAGAGAAGAGACATGCTGCTGTTCAGCTGGAAAATTCTAAGCTGCAGAAAGAAAAAGCTCTTTTGGTAGAATATATTTCTCAGTTACATACACAGGTAACTGTATTTCTCGAACAACATCCTTTTCATTTGAATTCTGTTTTGTATTACACAGTGAATGGAATTTACCAACAAAAAAATGTGATGGCTAAGCTGAGGGGCAAAACTACAGTGGAACCTCTACTTACGAACGTCCCCACTTACAAACAATCTAAACAATGAACAGCTCCGTTTGCAAAATTTTGGTTCTACTTGCGAACGAAGCTTCAACATACAAACAAAAAATGTGGGGGAGGTGGGGAACGCCCGAAATTTGAACTTTCAGTTGACCGTTGGCCAGTGAAGAGGGTGTTTATCTGCAACATCGCTCGTCCAAGTGGTTAGAGAATGGATAGGGAGTCTTCAAACTGCCTGGTACTGCACAGTACTGCCTGGTACTGTACTGTAAAGACTGTATTTTTTGGGGGGCTTTTTTCCCCCCATTGTTCCCTTCCTCCCTCCTTTCCTGCCCTTTTTTTTACCTAAGTTCATATTAGGTCAAAAGAAGAAAAATTCTCCCTCTAGCGGTAGAGGATGGATTAGCCAGCTTTGCATTAGTTCCAATGCTTTGACTTAAGAACGGCGCATCTAGATAAGAATGAAAAACAGCCAGAACGGATAAACCGTTTTCAGTGCTTTCCTATGGGAAATTTTGCTTCTACTTACGAATGTTTCAGCTAACTAACATCTTCTGGGACGGATTAAGTTCGTAAGTAGAGGTTCCACTGTAATGGCAAATGAAACTGTGTGTGTGTGAAAAAGTATCAGCAGCTGTGTGGTGAAATCTGATCATAATGGGCACTGTGGTACACAGGAAGATATGCCGGATACTTCCCTTACCCATGACCCCAACAATAATCCCCAGAAGAGCAGAAAGAACAACTGCTGTTTACTGGAATTGCAGCATGGTTTGGCAAATGACTGGTCCAACATCACCTAACTAGCTTCATAGGCTAGTGGGGACTGTAAAGCAGAACTCTCAATTTCCCATCCCATCCATTTTGACCACATCACATTGTTTCTGTGTTGCGCATAACTTTGTTCTTTCCATAGAAATAATAACTTTGCTTAGCAGGATCAGAGTAAAAATCTTAGGTTGCATAATTTATACAGTTGTTAGGTTGCATAATTTATGCTTTTCTTGGTGAAAAATTTAACTGGCCCATGTCAGTATAGAATTTTCCAGAAAGGTAGCTTTTAAAGATAAAACAGTCTGTTTCTAACTGCCCAAATTCTCATTCAACAGTGAAGCCTATTAAGAGATGTAGGCAAGTCTGTTTCCCAACGTTCACACAGAACCTACATAAGCAGATAAAAGCTAAAGATTTTAGGATGTTACACTCTACTCAGTATAAAAAATTCTCCTCCTATATTGACCATAAAACCCAAGGGATTGGTGCTCCCATTAGCTAAATGTATTCTACCATAAGCCAGCGTGGGCTGAAATCCACTTCAGATGTTTAAAGTATAAGTATGCTTCTGTTTGAAAGTTTACGTCACAATAAATGTTAGTATTTAAGGAACCAATCTAATTGTTTTGGGATGACAGTAAGGGACATATACCGTACTCTAGGAGACTCCAAGCATGCCCTCCAGGGCACCATTAATATTATTAAGTCGTTTCTTCTTTGAGTGTTGTGTCTTATACTTGCTACTTATGGACATCAAGATATGACATTAACACACAAGATACTTTATCCCCCACCTCATTTTAAAAATTAATCCAGGTACTAGGTCACACATTTTCAGAATTGTTATCATTCCAGCCTAAAGGTTCACAAAGTAGCAATTCAACCCATGTGACTATGCATGCACCACTAAGGGTAAATGTTTCTTTTTCTAACCTTACAGACTGGAACTAATGTGTCTTCTCTTGCTGAAATATTTTCCCCCACAAAATAGTCAAATTTCCAACAATTTTACATATCTCTGTATGCAGTTAGCCAAATATAAAGACTCAGATTCTTTATTTGTAGTAATTTTATTGCAATATTCATAATTAACACACCTTTCCCCATTTCTCAGATTGCTGAAAAGGACATAAGTCTCCTGCGGAGTCAAGTTAACAGCTTGTCCTGTGATCTGAACAATTTGAAGTCTCAGGATGACATGGCATCTATTCTGCAGAAGGAAAAATAGAAATAGTTCTCCAGGATATCAACAGCAAAACATGCATCAGTGAGGTAACTTGTATAGAAGTTATATATCCATATGTTAATCTACTATAAGAATGTTTCTAAAAGTCTAATCAAACTGAAAAGCTGCATTTTGCTCACAATAAACCTAGGTTCCAGAGTCCGGGACAAATTCTTGCAAGGGTAGCACTACAAGATAAATTAGGACTTTTACTTCTATCAGTCTGAAATAGAAGAGAGAAAATTAATGTATCCTGAGTTTATCAGAGGTTGGCTTTTAAGCCCTTTGAGTATTTGTGGACCAACATTCACCAAGTGGAAATGAAGCATCCTATATTAATCTCACATGAAAGAATGGAATTTGCATGGCATCCTAGATGACAATGAAGTATTGAAAGAACCATAGTCCGATTAATATTCCTTTCATCATCCAGATTTTGATTTCACAAGTCTCTACAAAGAGAAAACTGCTGATAGGTTAAGTGGCAGTCTGAAATCTGTAAAGGAGAAACCAAAATCTGATGGTTTCATAGCCTCTTTCCTGAGTAACATGCAAGACTAGAGAAAACAAAGGAACTGTCAGGAGCTGATGCACCCCAATTCTTTACAAAATTGCACATGATTAGTACCACTTCAGTCTCTGCTGTACTTTTAGGAAGAAATCTATATGAAAAATCAAAGTTATGCTATCTGTTGTTTAGGGAAAAACATCTTTGATATGTGTTATGCAAAATTCTGCAGTAACACAGAGAAATATGGAATGCATCCTATAAACGTGCTGCTTCTATAAGTTTATTCTATGCTGCTCCTTCTACAGCATAAGCAACAACTTGGCAGAGGTATTTACTAGTTAGAGACTATTAGAAGTTTTACTCATCCTGTCTTAATGGACAAATACAATCAAGAATGAGTAGTTAAATGTAAAAGTATGGGCAAGAATGCATACATTTAATGGCACGACATTACTAATAAATAGTAAGTTTAAGTATGCTTAGGTTTTCAAAGTATATATGCCTCTGTTACAAGAAAAGCAACATAGTAATTTAAATCAAGTTGGACAAAGTGTGGCTCTCTGTATGTTGTGGCACTTCCAGCATCCCTCACCACTGCTCTGTGGGCTAGGACTTCTGGGAGCTGTCCAACAACTGCAGACCAGCACTTTTCCCACTCTTGCCTTTAATGACTGGATTTTGTTCAGGTAATAAAATGAATCAAGATAGCTTACTTTGTATATATATTAGAACCAGGCATTTTTGTAGGATTTGTATATATTTCACCAAGTCAATGTACAACTGATTTCTAGAAAGTGAATATAAAATGTTTGATCTGCATCAAAATAAAGAGCCAAAAAGTATGAAAGGAATTGCTGCCCTAGTTTAAAACTTGAGAGAACTTTTTTGAAAATGTAGAATGATCAGAATGTCTTCTAATGGGACTTGCCAAATAATTACGAGATCATGAAAAGGAAAACTTCATAATACCAGGATAGCTGGCTTGGCTATTTAAACCTTGGTATTACACAATCCTGATAATGCTCACATACAGCATATTTTGGAACAAGCAGCAATCACCAAGAAACAGTATGAGACAAACTATTTAAAACACCTTGTTTAACTGGAAAGACGCAAAATAGGTATTATTCATCCAAAATCAACAGGAAAGCTCAAACATATCTCCTATGTTTTCCTCCCAAAAACATAGCCAGAATAAAAAGCACAACAATTGTGTAGTGTACCAAGTGTATATTTCAATTTACTGTATGCAATCTAACAACAAATTTGGTCATAATTTACCAGATATACATAAATGATTTAAGTAGCAAAAGGAGATTCAGTTTGAAGAGAATAAGTAAAATACATTAAGAATGTAAAGCCAGGTCCAGTTTAAGCATTGAGTGAGTAGTATGCTCTAATAAAGCAGATTCTGGTGGATTTCAGACATACATACATATACACATATATCTGCTATATATATATATGTATTTGTGTGTGTGTGTATGTGCAGATCTACCAACTGTAAACTATTTTAAGGGGAATAAATGGGATGGAAGAACCTTTATACTATAACTTACATATTCACAGAGCAGAACATTTACTTAACGTTTAAAATACTTCCCATTCATATTATCTTTGCCCACTATTTCCTACTTTGGACCCCACCAGAATTACACATTACTCATTTCAGTCTAGAACAAGAATAAGATGTATTCATTTTTTTCAAAAGTAAAACCCAAAAACTATTCATCTGTCAGGTTTACAGTGATGTGGAATCTACCAATGAAGGATTTGGAAAAAGTTATACAATTTAATACCCATATAATTAAATCGCTGTTTCATCCTGCAGAAACAATGTCTAACATTAATCCACTGCTGTACTGAAATAAAGGATAATAAAGTTGTCTCTTTAAATATATTTTTATATATATCAACTTTGATCAGACAGAGCACCGTAAGATTCTATCTGTCAAAGCAATTACGTTTACCACACAACTACCATAATTTAGTTCTCAGATATAAAATAGGAAAATATACTCATTTTAAAGTTAACAAACTCAAATATGGTGACCCCTCAACTTATAATACAGTACTATCACACTGGCCTAGCTATGTGTCATGGTAAATGCTGTGCATATTTATTCACTGTGACATAATAATATATTGAATGCAGTGTCTACAGTTCAAATAGCTCACTAGCATTCAGGCTAAATGAAGCTGAAAATTCTAAGCATAAAAAGGTGCAATACCCTCCCTTCCCTCAGAAAAAAGGCCTGAAATCATTGGTACAGTATAACAAGTTTAGAAAAGATTTATGGCTACAAAAATTCAAGTTTCAACATCTCATCCAAAAACAGAAGCAAAGAGCATTGGGGATAAATATCTCTAGCAATTATACTAAGGGTTTTTTTTAAAAAAATGTTCCAGCAAATTAAGCTGCCAAGTTAAATGTTGTTTGGTATACAAAATAACCCCCAAAATAGGAGAGAAGCAACGGTTCATTTTATGTTCACTTTAATGCAGAGCAATGGGGTGTCAAAAAAAGAGGGGGGGAGACAGCCTCATGTCTAATTTTCCACAAACAAAACTAGACAAAAGACGACAAACTGGGTTCAACAATTTAACCAACAAAAACCAATGACATTTATTTCTATTACACTCCTCCTCAGATTCTATGACTCTAAGCTTTGTGATGGACTGAGGTATACAGTAGTGAATAAAAATGATAGCCAATAGGAATAGTGCTAACAAAATATAAATTAGAGCAAGGGCAGCCATGCCAGAAAGTGTCTTAATATAAAGTTCTTTAAGTGACAAGGAGAAAATTGCTTTCATTCCAATCACAATCCTCCTTGCAGTTTTAAGTCATTATTGTATATTTGGTGAAACAGTAGTAGCTTTTTGCAACTCAAGATTATCAAAAACCAGAGTCAGTAAATTAAATATCAATGATTAAGTTCTCCAGAACGTGTTAGATCCATGCCATCAAGATTATGGTATTTAAGCTGTCGAAGGGGAAGGCAAGGGAGATGTGGCAAAGCCCCATTTCAGAAAACAAGAGCCACTAGCACGAATTAGCCACATTTGTTCTCAAACTATGATTGGAATCAAGGGAGCCGTCTCCAAAGATTGCAATTTGCTTCATTCATGTTAAAGGGCACATGAATATCTAAAAGAAGCATAGTTATTACTATGCTTGATTAGGACCCAAATAGCTATATCCTATAAATAATAAAAAATACATTTTATTTTGATAATTGACTGTAGATGTGAGGACTCTATAATTCAACCAAATAGCTGTATGCTGTACAGTCCTGTGCAAATATCTTTTAAAAAATTAATAATCCTCTTTTCTTCTTTTTTGCTATAAGGCTTTGACCCTACAAATTTTCACAGCAACATAACTTCCATCCAGCCTGTACCATATTTTCCAAGCCTTCAGTCCAAAAATTCAGCAAGGTCAGCCCACATGATGTCCAAATAAAGCATGAAAGAGATCAAGCTCCCTTAGTCTTCCAAAGGCACACAGACTTCCCCAGATTCATCCCATTGAGTCTGATCATTCTGTTCTTCCACATCATCAGGCAGCTCTTCATCAGCATCCCCAACTTCATTTTCTTCAAATTCTTCATCTCTGGGAAAATCTGTGTCCTGTACCTGGTCTACTCCTTCCTGCCCTCCTGGTTGAGATTTATCTGCACAGTCAACACAAACACCATAACGTCGAGATCCATGTCTTATTCCCACACTGGCCGCTAACATGAAAATCTTCTTACATACCATACATTTATACTTTTTATCCTTTTGGTGAACCTGCAGAAGAAGAGATAGTATTAATAAACATGTATGTCTCATATAAATCATCCAATAATTTAGTATGAACACTGCTCTTAATACATAAGTTATATAAAAGTAAGATTTTATAGTGATAACTTAAAACACAGAACTAAAGCTAATTAGTGTTTAATCCCCAACATCACATTATATACACCAGTTTACATTGTCATTGTTACACTATGTACCCTTCTGGTGCAGAATTTTTTAATGGTGCATTTTATGATACAGCTGGACCATGACTGAAAATGCTATAAAATCAACCAAGTAACTTTTTGGAACTGAAAGTATCATGGCTTTAAGTTAGTAGACAATAGTTTCCATTAAATCAAAGAAATCTAAACTTCAACCAACTCTGGATAGAACCTGACACTGAACATCTGCTGAGATCATAACTATAGAAGAATCCAGTGGAAGTGGACAACCTCTGTTTCTCACTGCAGCACTCTAGGCACTCCTAAAATCTACTTTTCTTAGCCATGTTAAAAAAGTTAAGGGGTGTAGAAAACAAATACAATCCTGAAAACATACATTATCCTTTAAAAATCAGCACCGGTTTAGTAGAAGTTACTATGGGACAATTGGCCATTTCTCCAGCCAAATCTGAAAGCAAAGTCAACATTGCCTTGCAAAAGAATCTTTTTCATGGCTGACATCCATAGCATTTTGCCTACCCAGTAAAATGCTACCCAAGCAACTTACTATTTTCACAAGTGCAGGAACCCATTTAGTAAAATAAAAAAAAAAGCTCTTATCTGCTATAGGGACAACAGAGTGTAATATTTTACTATACAGTGGTGCCTCGTATAACGAGTGCCCCGTTTAACGATGAATTCGCATAGCGATGGCATTTTTGCCATCGCTTTTGCGATCGCATACCGATGTTGCCTATGGGGAAAAATCGCTTTGCGATGTTTTCCCCATAGGCACCATTTTTCCCCAGCTGAGCGGCGGGAGCCTCCAAAGGAGTTCTCCCGCAGCTCAGCTGGGGGAAAATGCCTGCAGTGGCCTCTTCCAAAGGGTCCTTCCGAGGGCACCGCTGGGATTCCCCTTCCCCGCGGCCAGCTTCCCCGGCCATGGTCGGACTCTCAGGAGTCCGACCATGCATGGGGTAGCCTGCCGCGGGTCGGATCCAAGCCGCGGGGAGAGGGTGGGGGGATCTGGATGCCTGAAAGGCAAGCTCAGCTGGGGGAAAATGCCTGCAGTGGCCTCTTCCAAAGGGTCCTTCCGAGGGCACCGCTGGGATTCCCCTTCCCCGCGGCCAGCTTCCCCGGCCATGGTCGGACTCTCAGGAGTCCGACCATGCATGGGGTAGCCTGCCGCGGGTCGGATCCAAGCCGCGGGGAGAGGGTGGGGGGATCTGGATGCCTGAAAGGCATCCGGATCTCACCACCCTCCCCCCGCGGCTTGAGAAGAGTGGGAGGCACGGCCGGACTCCTCGGCAGCCACCGCGGGTCGGATCCGAGCCGCAGCAGCTGCCGAAGAGTCTGGCCATGCCTTCCGAGGCCACCGCTGGGATTCCCCTTCCCCGCGGCCAGCTTCCCCGGCCATGGTCGGACTCTCAGGAGTCCGACCATGCATGGGGTAGCCTGCCGCTGGTCAGATCCAAGCCGCGGGGAGAGGGTGGGGGGATC